GGGGCAACCCCTGGGTGTAGGTCGCGGGGCTGGCCTCAGTTCCCAGCCGGAAAGAGCCGGCGGCTCGGTCACCCTTCCCGTATCCCCGACTGCGTGCTGTACCCCCTGCACAGCGTCATCCTTGAAGGACAGGGAAAAGCATCTCACCACAGAGCCTGCACCTGCCTCGGGGCTGCAGACCCCCCGGCGGTGTGGGGAGCGGGGCGCAGCCCGTGCTCAGGGGCAGCCTGGCTGCTCACCTTGCACTCACAGCCCATCTGGTACCGCTGGTGTAGGCTCTTCTTCTGGGTTGGGCTCAGTGAGCCCCAGGTGGTGACCAAGTCGCAGAGTGTGATGGGCATCTTGCCGTTGCCCTCTGACTTGCCTGGAGAGAGGCCAGACAGACTGCTCAGAGGGTCCCTGCAGGCGCCCTGGGACCCAATGTTGACTGAGGGTGCCTGGGGCTCAGCCCGGCCTGGGGGGCTAGAGGCCGCTGCAATTTGGTCCCTCCTGCCATGCACTGTACCCAGTGAACCCCAGGGAGCAGAGGCTTTTCCCTGTCTTGGTTTTGGCTGGGATAGAGTTAATTTTCTCCTAAGTTGCTGGTATAGTGCTGTGTTTTGTATTTAGGATGAGAATAATGTTGATAACACACTGATGTTTTAGTTGTGGTTGAGCAATGTTTACACGAAGTCAAGGACTTTTCAGCTTCTCATACTGCCCGGCCAGCGAGGAGGCTTGGAGTGCACAAGAAGCTGGGAGGGGACACAGTTGTGACAGCTGACCCCAATTGACCAAAGGGATACTCCATACCATATGACATCATACTCAGTCTATAAACTAGGGGGAAAGTTAGCTGGGGGGCTCTTGCTTGGGAACTGGCTGGGCATCGGTTGGCAGGTGGTGAGCAATTGCATTGTGCATCACTTGGTTTTTTATATTTTTTTATCATTATTACTATTATTATTTTCCCACCCTTTTCTGTCCTATTAAACTGTCTTAATCTCAACCCATGGAGTTACTTTTTTTTTCCCGGTTCTCTCCCCCATCCCACTGAGGGGGAGGAGTGAGCTGTGTGGTGTTTAGCTGCCTGCTGGGTTAAACCACAACAGTCCCCCAGCTGCCCCTACCAGAGCCCGGGGCTGCCACACGCAGCCAGGACACAGTCAGGGGGCCCACCGAGGGCTGGTGGTGGGAGCAGGAGGAGGAGCAGGGCAGAGGAGGCCGTGCCCAGGGACTGGGCACACACGTCGCAGGCCTCTCGGGAAGCACGCAAGGTGGCAGGGCCAGCCCTGCCATCGGGTCTCCTGAGAGCCCTCCCTTGTGGCCACCAACCTGCAATGAGATACTCCTCCTTCCTGCTGGTGTCCAGCAGCTGGCTGCACACAGCAGTGGACGGAACCGTGTAGATGAACGCTATGTCCTTGTCAGGGCCCTTAAACATCTGGGGAGAAGGAGCAGCCTGGGTGGCCAGAGGCTGCCCCGTCCCCCCAGTCTCCTGCTCCGATGTGCCCCGTTACCTTCATCTGCTTGATTTCATACTGGATTCGTTTGATTGGATTCCCACATGTATTGTTCCCCGAATCCACCTCTTTCTCAGAGACAGCCTTTGCTCACATCACTGCAATGGAGAAGTGTCAAGGCCAGCAGCGGTGGCCAGGGACCGGAGGTGCTGCCAGCGCTATGCAGTGCTGCCTGGCAGGATGGTCCCGCTCAGCGCCCCCCACCCCACAGGGGCTCCCACCCTCGCACGGGGACAGCTCCCACACTGCCCACAGCAAACCTCACTGCCCTCCGCACAGACGCCCAGCTGCCTGCAGAGCTGGCTGTCACATGCTGTCCCCAAAGGGACGGGGCTCTGGCACATGCGGGAGCAGCGTTGCAGCAGCACCCTCACAGCGGGTGATAAGGAAAGGTCACCCCAGGGTTACCCGGCCCCACTGTCGCCAGCCCTGCCAGACCTGTTGCCCTTGGCCAACGCTGGCTCAGTCTCTGCCCAGCCCCTGCCAGATTCGTGGGTGCAGGCTGACCCTGCCCAGGCTCGTGCCCATCACCCAGATGGCACCAGGACAGCTAAAACCTGCCAACAGCATCCTGGGAGCACCGCAGTATTTCTCCCACTGTCATTAAACTGGTCTCTGACAAGGGCCCCAGCGAAATGCCTGCGTGGCCTGGCAGGGCTGGAGGAGAAAAGGGCAGAGGGAGCTATTTGGCTGCACCCACCTTTGGGTGCAGAGGGAGGCGGGAGTCGTGTCCCCATAGCACCATCCCGTCCACTTGCCACGGCCAGCACGGGCACTGGCGCTGCCCATCAAGTGCTGGCACAGGCAGCTCGTGCCAGGGTCACCAGCCCCACCTGGCCCCCACGCTCTGCAGCCACCCTCCCAGAAGGGCCAGGGAGTCCACCAGCCCCTCTGCACCCGCACACCAGGGGAGCAGGAGTCCCAGGACCAGGTTGCCTTCACACCCCACAGCCAGAGCACAGGGTCTCCAAACCACCACAAAGGGGTCCCAGCTGCCACGAGGCAATGCTCTGGCTGACGGCTCCCTGCCAGACCTCAACTACTGCCGCATAGAGCCTCACGCCGTACAGGTGCAGAAACCGCATCCTCCTGGGACCGGGGACCACAGGGTGTCACTTCCTGCCCTCACTGCCTGCAAAAATAACCCGGAATGCCAAGGGCCGGGGCAGTGGAAAAACACGATCTGGTGAGAGGAGGCAGTGAGCTTCCCAACCAGCAGCCCCGAGCAGCCCGGCCAAAGGCAACAGCCCTCCTGGCTCCACATGGCCCCAGGGTGGTCCCAGCGCTCGGTGCTGAGGGATAAGGTCCGGTGCCCTAGGGCTGGTGAGGCCACGGCACCCTGGAGCCCAGGGACAGCAATGCTGGGACAGCTCTGCTGTGGAAGGGTCCCTGTGGTCATGCTGCCAGCACAGCCTGGGAACACACAAAACGGCACATGAGTGCTTGGGACGTGGCAGTGACATGCAGGGTGCCCAGGGTGGGCAAGGCAGGCAGGCAGCAGGCAGCCAGCTCACCCTTACTCACCAGCTCAGAACACAGCGGCTGGTTTTGTGCCGCGCTGTGCAGGTTGCAGTTACGTGCAGTGGATGCAGCCGCTCAGGCGTGCAGAGCCTGGGTCCCTGTGCCAAGACCTGTGGCTCCCCTCCCTGCCTGGCTCCCTCCACCACGGCGGGAACAGGGAGCTCCCAGCCCATCCCAGGCAGCACCAGGGATGCCAGGGACACTGACAGCACAGGGGGCAGTGGCAGCCCCAACGCTGCAGCTCCTGCTCAGCACCCTCACAGCTGGGGGCTGAGCCAGGGAGGGGGCCTGGCTGCAGGGAAGGGGCTTGCAGGGCTCCCCGCTCTGCTGGGGGTACCACCATCCCACGGGAAGGCCAGATCCCCCATCCCTCGGGGGCACCTCGGTGCCCTGCCAGCCCTGCTCCGTGTGCATGCTGCAGGGTAGGGAATGGGGAGCCATGCTTTGGCCAGGGCAGCAGGAGGGCAAGCACCAGCCACGCTGGGGACACGGCTCCTGTCCCCCACTGAAAGGTGCTGGGGTGGGAGCAGCCGGCGGCCGCCCACCAGCCCAGCACAGATGCACTTGCTTTCTGTCGCCTGGCACGGCAAGGAGAGGGAATCTGACTGCGCTTTGTAAATACCACAGGGCACGGGGGCACGTGCATGGGCTATTTAAGCTGAAGGTCAGGGGGGCACAGCCCCATGTGGGTACTGGTAAGTGCCAAATGAGTTTACTCTGGAAAGGAGACGGTGGCCACCAGCATGAGCAGGGGCTGGGGAAAAGACTTCCCAAAACAGCCACCCCCAGTCAATGTAGGCACTCGCTCGGTGCGGGGCAGGCAGACGCAATGCCCGCTGGTACCGGGGCTGCACCAAGGGCTTTCCCAGCCG